GTCAAACGCTTTACTGAAATCGAGATAGATTTTTTGTTGTTTTCTGAGGAACTGGGGTTGTTTAGCCTGCAGAAAAGGACCTTATTTCTCTCTACAACCACCTGAAAGAAGGTTGTAGCTAGGTGGGTGTTGGTCTCTTTTCCCAAGGAACAAGTGATAGGAGGAAAGGAAATGACCTCAAGTTGCGCCAGAGAAGGTTTAGATTGGATATTAGGAAAAATTTCTTCACTGAAGGGATTGTCATGCACTGGAACAGGCTGTCCAGGGAAGTGGTTGAGTCACCATCCCTGGAGGTATTTAACAGAGGCACACCTGTGGTGGATACGGACATGGTTTATTGGTGGATTTTGCAGTGTTAGGTTTACAGTGGGACTCAATGATCTTAAAGGTCTTTTCCAACCTAAATGATTCTATGATTCGATGCTGGTAAAAGGTGTGATTGACCAAGATAGGGTCTGCCCTTCTGATGCTTTTACTTCTAATCTGCGAGCTCCTGAATTTGCTACCAGTCACGTCATTTATCTTTTGTTATAATACTAAAAAATATTTGCTGAGACTGTATACTAGGCTGGTGGCACATACAGGAATACTCTAAGAGCATCTAAGTAATCTACGTTGCTGAATTAAGCATAATATAGCTGAGACTGCCAGACATGGCCAATATCTGATGCTCCAAGGGACAGTGAATATCACTGCCATTCTCAGTTGCACAATGCTGCTCACCAGCTGAGCCTCAGTCCACACATCCATTTTTTAGGGACTAAGCTGACTGAATATCATACTCATGTACAGTATCAATGCAAGATACATAAATAATATTATCATAGGTTATCAGTATTATATCAGATTAATAATATCTAAAGTTTAAGTCTGTCTAATTCTTGAACAAGGAACCAGGGTTTAATTGCAAAATGCCACGAAAATAATTCTCTCTTCATTTGTCATTTCTTTTAAGTCTGGGCATTGCAAGACTTTCAGAAAACTAGCTTCATGAATACTGCCAGCTAAGCAGGTAAATAGCTTTATGTCCATGCAAGTTGTGCTTTCATCATATTAAAATATGCAAACAGTATTGACATCGTATTTCCTTTGGATGAATATCATTAAAGCAATAATTCCTGAGAAAAAAATAGTTACAGAAATTATTTTGTAAAGATGATCATAGCAGTAATTGCATAGCATCACTTTGCCAAATCATTACGGCTCATCTCACCAACTTCTTAAGGAGTTGGGAAAATGCACATAAAACTGTAAAGCAGGCCCAGACAGACAGCTCCCTATCCTGCCCCTGTACAGATACATTTCAGTGTATCTAACTCTGGTTCTAACACCAGTTCTTGCAGCACATGTACTTTAGACTGAGCTGTGCTGGACTTGGCACGTGATTTCCACATAATTTTTGAAAAAATAATATTAAACACAGAAATAGTCTACAGTATCTCACCCCTTCTATGTAGCTAACTTACATAATGCATCTGAAACTGGGTAAGAGTAAGAAACAGTCTCCGAAGGACAGTCTGTGATCTCTCGAGTCCAAGTTCAGAATTATGGCTTGAATATGACATCACCAAATATAAAAAAGGTCAAAATTCCTTCAATGCCAAGTGAGAAACCACGTGCACCCAAGCTGGCTTTCTAGCAGTGCATGGATATATAAATCTGTGTATATGCGTATTAAAGCTGTGTATTAGCAGTTAATCAAGATGAGCTTATCACTTTTACAGAGGCTAGTGTCTTTTTCAACCAGAATTTTATAGTACACTATGGACCAGAATTTTTTAAAGATCAATTTTATGCATCAAAAAAGAAACCATTCCTTTTCCCCCTAGGCAGGATCAGCAGTACTAAACCAATTTGTGCACATCATTTTTGAAGCATGATGCTCAAGAAATAACACTCGCGATAAGACCTTACCAGTGTTAACAAGAACGAAAGAATGACTTCTAGATGTCTTGAGAACAGATGCTTCCTTGACCCGCCATTCAACTGCACCTTATTTAACTCAGTGCATTTCTCCAATTTGTCAAAATCATTTTGAAGTCTAATTCAGTCCTCCACAGCATCTGCGGTCCTTCTCAGTATCATATGCCCACATATTCCTACTATACAGCATTATTTGCATTAATCTAGAAGATAAACTATCAGAAATCATGAAAATATTTCAAAATATCAACACATTAAGACTGCACTGGAGGAGACAGAAGCTGCAAATAGTATCAGAAAAAGAATCACCACTTCACCCTGAATTCAGCATTTCATACTTCCCTGCAATGAAGGCCAAGACACAACATATTTGAAAGCTGAAACAACAGAATTATTTGCATCACGTTTTGCGGGATCTTTACATGGAACTTTTAATTGCTTAGATAAATTATAATAATGAAATGTAAGAGTTCTACTCTTAATTAAAAATCTGAAAGTGACAAAGAAGCATGTCAGTTAACACTGTCTATAAATGAAAGGTTCAATAGACCTACATAAAAATCTCTAAAGAACAAAAATCAAGCAAACAGTGGGATCCAATTACAAAATCAATATAGTTTTATTCACTGTTTCCTGTTCTTCATTGATGAAATACTCAAAAGAAAAAGTTTATTGATCAGTAATAAGGTTAGCCTGTCTAACACTGAAATTCAGATCATTTTATAATTCTCTCTTTCTTTAGCTTCTCAAATATTATTTTCCCACTCTCAGAGGAGTCATGACATCTCTAATAAACAAAAATACCTTAGAAGTGAAAATTCTCAGTCCCAATAGCAAAAGTGTATTACCTCATTGCATTTACTTATTCGCCTCGCCACAATAAGCTGAATCATTCCCCTTTTGTTTCCTTCAGTGGACATGGATCTCCTTAAGGTTTCCATAGCATCTTGATTTGTTTTGCCCAATAATGATTCTCCATTTACCGCTATTAGCTGATCATTCACTCGAAGCCTGCCATCCTGGAAAAGGAAAGATTATAGCCACTTACATAAAACATGCACAAAAGAAGTTTAGTCTGCTGGAGAGAGGAAAAAAACAAAAGAAAAACAATCAAACAGCTATGCTTAGTCCTAATAGTTTATGGCCAAATGAACACTGGTATAATAGCTTCCATTGCAGCCGTTGTGGGAAATGTCTATTCCAATTACAGATTTGCACTGCAAGGTATTACCATATCCTCTTTGCACAAATAGCGTACTAATTGAACTGTACCAGAGATGGCTCGTATCCTTCCTGAGAAGCTGTAAGGGCTGTTTAAATCCTGGGATGTGCAAACATCTGAATCTGAGTAGAAATCTAAATGTGACCTCTGATAGCGTAATTGGAAAAAGCTAGTTACAGAGCAATGTCATTCTTCTTGAGCCGTGGTTATTTTCAAAACAGCCTTATTATGGAAAACTAAGGAAGACCAAAGTACACAGATGTTCCCTCTTACCTTCGATGCTGCTCCACCATTAATAATGGACTTGACGAAGATTCCTAAATCGGCATGATTTTCTTTTGACCGGTTACCTTTGACGCTCACACCAAGTCCAGCTGATCCAGAGTCATTCAGTGGAACTTCAAATGTCAGGAATTCCCTGGTGCCATCAGGTGTGAGGACAAGCTCCTCTTCTTCTGCTTTCTGTCAGGAAGATTAGCATGGGATTATAGAAGAGCATTTCTCTTTGGGAGTTCTCTTCCCTCCACAGCTATCAGGATTAAAAAACCTTGCTTTTAACTACAATGCCACAACATTTTCCACAGTAATTACTTGAAGCAACATGCACAAATAGTGTATTTTCAATCACCTCCAGCTGTCGACTAGATTCAGAAATATATTTGTGTTTAACTGCTTCTTTGTCTAGTAAGGTAACAGAATCATGTGTCATTACTGCATGTGCCATTAATACTAACTCACACGTAAGCTGCTACTTCATCAGCGAAAAGAGAGCTGTATCAGAAATATTTTCTTACTTGCAAACCTACAGAATTTTTAAAATATCATCATCTACTATGGTAGCTTTGCCATCATGGGGAGAAACTAAATGCAAGAAAATCTAATTCAAAAATTATTCATTCACCTCATTTTGTTTAAAACTAGCTGTGTTAGGAAAAACAGAAAATTAAGCAGCTGAGATCTGTAACGGCACATCACTCTGCTATTGCCAGGCGTAGCATCAAATCCAGCTCTGAGTGCCAATTTTCCCGTCTTTACTGGCTCTGCCCTTCACCTCTGTCCTCTTACCCCCATCTTTAGTTCTTTGCTGCCCTTCACACCCAGTTTCAGCCTGGCTGGAACAATCCAAGGTTTTGAGCACCTAGAATTATAGTCCCAGACCTGCCAGTGTCCCTGGCAAGAAGCTGCTAACTTGTATGAAAGATGTATGTGCACAGGAGACCGGCCTCCGGCTTTGCCTTCTGCTGAGCTCAGGGTGGTGGCAGGCTGGGAGTGGGGACCCTGGGGTGTCCCCACAGAGTGGTGGCACTTGTGGGGGCAACAGGCAAGGGCACAGCTCCCACAAAAGAAAACGGTCAGGCGCTGAGGAGCCGTGCTTACACACAAGAGGCTGCTGCTGAAAGGAGAAACGGGAGGGACGAGCTGCCCACCAGCCCTGTCCGTTGCAGTAGACATCGTCCACTTTTCTGACCATCTTTCAGTTATAACAAAGCAGTTACAACCACTTTTCGTTATGACTTTATCAAGAAAAAGTCACGCCCTTAAAGGCAATTCTCTGCAGTGAGCCCAGTGCCTGGCCTCCAGAAAGATGCCTATGAGCCCAACTGTGTGGGTTTTTTCTAACCCAAATGGAGGAGAAAGAGTAAGAGAATATTCACCAGAAGGTGCACAGGAATGTCCAACAGTTAGAAGTTCTTCTCTGGAAGAATTAATCTGGCCAATTTTTTCAGAACTTTAGCAAATGCATCACCTTCCTTGCCAATTTTATACCGACTTTTCCCACGTCACTCTCATCTTATTTGCAAAGCTCGCTCCTATTTTTCTCCTACTCCCAGATGCTTGGAGCAGGGCAAATTACATGAGAAGCTAACGTGTGCCTGCTGAGCTGTCCTTGTTTCTGAGGAAATGCAAAGCTCACAAGCTCTTCTGAAATCCAAACACAGACTACGGCAAAGATGGATGTGAAAACCATGCGGAGTACAGCAGACTGAGATGCTCAATTTGGGCACAAGCATGCTAGTTGTGTCACCATTGACCTAGAAATGCAATGTGAAAATGTCACATGGGAAGGCAGTCAGACTGCTGAGGAAACCAGAACAGTTGAGGGAAGAAAAACAGGAGCTCTATCTTTTCACACTTGGTTAAAAGCATGAAACTTAATGTGTTCACCACCTCCTTCCCGCCATTAGACACTATTTGCTTGTCTCTAACCTTTTTTTTTTAATAAACAACAAAACATAATACTTCATCATTTGAGAGGGACATGGTTTAGTGAGTTAGGTGTTGTTGGGTTGACGGTTGGACTTGATGATCCTTGAAGTCTTTTCCAACCTTAATAATTCTATGATTCTATCAATTAAAAAAAAATATTAACACCCCCTATCCAAGTGCCATAGCTTAGCTGGCTCACTTATATATCCCATTATCCAAACACATCTCTGGGCCACGCAAACCAGCATGATCTGTGCTAACTGTCAGGAATGGAAAGGTGCACTGTGTCCATGGAAAAAATACTGGATCTAAAAAATACTTCCCAAATTTTAGGAAAATTACAACCCTGATTTTCCTGTTTGGGTCACAAAAGCACTAGTTACAGCCTACATTTAAGGTGCATCTTTTGTCAGGTGGCTGCAGAATAAAATAATCTCAGACAGATGCACATTATCTCTGTAACACTGATGACTTTCATATTTCTTAATAAACAATAGTAGGAATAAACGCTTGAGAGCCAAAATGGAGATAAAGCCAAAGTAGGACGTACAGGTTATCCAAAAAAGCACTGAAGATTATTGGATTTTTCTTTACTACTGTTATCAGAGATTTACAATCAATCCCCCCTCCCCTCAATATTTTCTAATGTTCTAAAAAAATCTGCCAGGACTTCAGCCACCACAATCGCCCTTCCAGGGCAGAGAACTAAACTGCTTCCCTGCACAGTCTGTCGGGTGCACTTCTATATGCTAAAGGGTCAATTGGAGAGACCATCTCAGTAAGCACCCCCGGGGACCTGGCTAATGGCCTCTACCCTACTTCTCTTCAGCGAGACCAAAGAGCTGCATTATCAGCTTAGTACTATGCTTATTGTGAGGCTTCTGTTTGCTTGTGTTCTCCAGTCTTGAATAAGGAAATAAGCTAATATCAGGCTACAGACACCTGAATGTGCAGGTGAAACTTAAGGGCTAAACCTGGAGCAAACTACTCCTTAGCAGCTGTGCATGAGTGACAAGATCATGCTCATAAAAAATGAGAAACAGCAACCTCAGCACTGGAACAGAAGTATTGAAGCCATGAGAAAACTGCTCGACTCATCCCAAGAGAAAATTACCATTACCAGGCTACAGCTAAGTGGCTTTAGGGACTTCACTGCATATCCACAGCTTTTTTTCAACTAAGCCAGCTTGTTTCACCATCGTACCTGTGCTTGCAATTTTAGAGACATAAGAACCCTCTTGCCCTCTAGAATCTGTGTCATCTGTCAGTACCATGTGCTTGAATATAGATTTTAAAAAGACAAAACAAGAGAGAGAGCAAACATTTATTTTTGATACCCCACAAATTGTTCTAGGAATACTTTGGAGAAAAATGTGGCTTTCCAGAATAACTGAACCATTAAGATTCATGCACGATGGATATGAAAGTAACAACTAACGTTTTTGCCTCTTCATGGTACCAAAGAAACTCTTACTATATATGACATGAATACAACCTCATACATACAAACCTTGGAACAGAAGTATATAGTGATCAGAAACCTCTAAGCAAGTCATAAAGGAGCCATTCTCAGAGAAATAAGCAGGAAGATTTTAGTTTCATACCATAATATTCTGAACCAAAGTTGTAAAAACAAAACCAAACAAATAAAAAACCAACAAAACCTCAGACTGGATGAATCCTTTGTTCCCCGAAGCCCTTAGAGTACAGAAACATTCCATGTACAGCAACTCTCCACAGCTACACAGCTCTACAGCTATCACAAAAAAGTAAAATTTGCACTGAAATTGTGTTGAACATTAAGTATTGAAATGTAACAAACCACAGAAGTTCTCTAATAAATCCATGAGACATCATTAAAAGGCACAAAAGTCTAAAATGCAGCATTTAAAAATTTCAACTGAGAACACAGTCACATCCTAAGTGCAGTAACTTCCATTTGATCTTGTTATACTCTAAATTAACAGCTTCGCTATGTCAATCAAACACCTGAACACTATTTTCATGATTAGTTGATCTGTGGGAGAAATTTATTCCTTCATATACTTTGACAGGCCAGCAGTAAACACGAAACCAAAATTATGTACTGTGAACCCTGAACAACAAAATTCAACTCCCTTAAGAATTTTCACACACTATGTCCAAAACAATTAACAGCAGAACAATATTCTGTTCAGACAGAGTCTGTTGAGGAAAAGGTCATCTGAAACAACTTCAGCTGGATGAATGAAGCTGCTCAAGTATGTAATTTGCAATAAAAATTCAATTGGTGATAAAATATGTAGGTGACTCTTTTTTTGCTTCAAATTCATACTTAGCATCAATTTATGCTAAATGACATTTAAGATAAGTTTTTCTCTTTTTAAATACAACATAAACATATCATAAAGTTAAAGATAAACTTCCTGACTAGAGCAAACTTATGGCTGTGCTTCAGTACATACAGAGATTTTTAAAAGCCACTGGATAAACAGGAGGGAAATTATTTTTCTCTTGTACATAACATTGGTTTCTGATCTGATAATAAAACCTGATTTCATTTTAACAACATTAAAATGGAACTTGACACTAAAAGTGCAATAAGTCTATTTCATCATCTTAGTAACAGCATCTCCTCCTTATCCCTTTATGTTTTAAATACTATGAAGAAATTTCTTGCTTGGGACTTCTTCCCTTTATAAAATCTCATCAGGGTTCAGCTGGTGAGTAAGCAGCATGAGATGGGTGAAAAAAGAAACCTAACAGCAAAGCGAAACCTCCTCCCACCTAACAGGGGAAGCAATTTTCAATCAAGCTGGGACAAGTTTCTGAAGTGGCTCGCTGCAGCTACAAATCTGGCTGCATTCTCTCCAGCGAAGTTCATTCTCTTGCAAGCTTAGACATGCTGTCTTCTCAGCAGCTGTTAAGTCACTGAAACCTGTCTGCAAGTTACTTTGTGATCATGTGCAGAGAAAAGAAATAAGTTAATCATGGGACTCTCGGCAAAAATCCAATGCACTCCTGTTTTCTTTCACAAAAGCAAATTAAGCATCTCTGTATCCCCACTCTTAAATGCAACCTATATTTCCAAGTTATGTATATAACACACATGAAAATATTTACAGGGCTCTTGCATGCGCACACATGTGCATGTCCAGGTACAAACACACCCTTCTTATACGATGATGAAATTCCCACGATACGTAGCTATAGCACAAGCCCTACTTAATGCCTCCAATGACCCCATCTACAATATTCACTTTACCTGCCCCCAA